GCCAAGAAACAATGACACTAGTAGCAGCATGGAAACCTGACGAGAGATATATCTTGCGATATAACTTGCTTATGCATTTTCCTCGTTCTAAATAAAAGTGGCTGAAGTAACCGGGTCTTGAACCAAGACCTGATGCCGCTGTGCAGACCACACCGAAATTTCCGGAGCCCTCCATTATAGCGCCTCTCATAATCATATGGTGGTTTTAGAACATTAAACTCCACATATCAATCAAAGTGCAGACCGCTTAGATATTGAATCAAAGAGGTGTGTTTTACATTTGTGTACATCCAATTATTATCCGATGATTTACACCCCGAAACCAGGACATGATTACGAGGAAATCCTTCGTGTAGGGCTCCGTAAATGTCTGTCATATGGTGCTCTTTAACATGCTATGACATCGCGCAATATATATACGTGCTTCCACCATTCTGCCTCCATCGAAATATGGCCTCGGTGACCGGGGTCGAACACGCGGCTTTCGGGTCGGTACTCGAGGACTGTAACCACTACATCACCGCAGCGGACAATCGCATATTCAATAGCAGCGGACGGTTGGGCATCATGGTCGTAATGAAATGAATATAATTGGTTTCATTAAACTTCTACGAACAGTTAGCAAAAGGGGACGACGAGCTGTATAGCATGTTGTGCACGTAATGAAATATACTATTTCGGATGGCTTTTGTTATGTGCTCTAGAAACATATAGAGAGTTATTTAAATCGGAGCGTACTTATTTAAAATGCTTATATTTGGAAGATAATGAAGTAATTTCGTTTCTCTAATAACTGCGGCCTTTCCTCCTGCTTCTTTTTGAACTCTCAAGAAGATTGTCACTGGTAGAGAATACGGCACGGCAAGTTGGCTTCACGCAATAGCGAAAAAAGAAAAAAATCACTTGCTAAGTGACGCCAACAAATATTAGCAACCTGAGGCAACTTTCTGCGAATTCTCAGTCATTGCCATCTAATAGGCTGATATTTTTTTTAAATTAGCTTTTGTAGATTACAAAAACAGCAGCGACAAAAGGACGTCCTAACTTTTTTCAAAGAACCAGTGCCGCTGACTATACAACCAAACGAAAAATATTGACACCGATGACACGAAGCACAGCAGTCCTTTTCAAAATAAGAGTTTCTCAAGCACAGCCAAGTGACTTGTGCGCACGAATTCATTTAAAAAAATGGCCCCGTATCTGCATGTTGCACTGCAAATGTCGTCGAAAGACGATAATCTTGCGTCAGAAGAGAGTGAACAAAACGTTTATTTAATGTCCTGCGCAAAAAAATTGGTGAATGGTACTCTGGAGGCGCTGCGTTAGAGTCCCTCAATGCGTGCAGCGGAGACGAACGAGCGCATCGAGGCACGTCACACGTGAGACATTAGCGCTAACTGGCAGTTATCTTGAAAAACGAAGTATGTGCGTCCTGAGCCCCCATCTCGGAGGTGATAAGGTGTAGAACGCAAGGCTACGGGTAGGTGCCACCACCGTGTCGTCTTACCTAGAGTTACTGTATAAGCTATACCAAACGTAACATATACAGTAACTCTGTATATGTTACAGAGTTACTGTATATGTTACAAAACCAACAGTGAAATACACTTTTTATGGTTTGGGGTGTTACGAGCCAAAACCACGTGCATTATAATTATGAAGCGCGCCGTAGAGTTTTTCAACATGCGCCGACATCGCACAGTATACACAAGCCTCTTTCATTTCGCCTCCGCCGAAATTCACTTTGCAACCGCCACAGCCAGGATCGAACCCGCGACCTTCGGGTCAGCAGCCGAGCATGCACCGTAAGCACTGATTTACCGGGGCTGACGAGGCCTCACACTTTTGTGGCCACACCTATTCCTATCGATAGTACGTTATCGACGACTTCAAGTGCGCATTTTGGCGCTTTTACGAGTGTTTGTGTACATTGGTATCCTCTCATCTTCAGCATTACTATAAGCCTTATCTGGATTCATGCTTATGCTCACATCTACTCCCGAGTATTAAAAAACGGTACATCCCATACGCCATTTCAGTATTTATTGATCAGAGGCGAGAATTACGCGGGGTGTCCCCACTCTTTTGCCCCATTATTACCTCTTCGGGGAAGTTCTAGATAAATATATCTTTATAATCTCATTCAAGTGAAAGAAATGTTTTCGCTGGTTTGCAAGAACTCATAACTCGTATTCGAAGGTACTACATCAAAATTTCGCCAAGAAAAGCACCGATTGCATGAGATATTGGTGTTAAAAAGCATTGAAATTTCGATCAAAAAAGCTCATCTGAGACTTACGGACTCACGAGTAGACTCACTCAGACTTGGACTCTGATCAAGCCACAAATCTTAGTCTGAGTGATTCAGTAATGTTTTAGTGAGTTTGAGTCCGAGTGAGTTCGGATGAAGTAAATTTCAGTGAGTATGAGTCTGAGCGAGTCCAGCTTGGAAAAAGTTTGGCAAGTCCGAGTCCAAGCGAGTCAAAAACCCAAGATACATTTTTTTGAGTGAGTTGCACTTATGCTTGCCCACCTATAAAATACAGTTAACTCTATCATAGGAGTAAAAGAGAAAGTAGTTAATCAGTTTAGCTTTTGAATTTTTTTTTTCACCATGGAGAGATATTTAAACGTCCTTCTCAGTCGGAGAAGTGAGCGCTCGAGGTTTCGGTTATGGCGTCGATGACGCTCGCAGGTGCTCCACAAAAATGGCGAATTTTGACGGATTCCGATGAATCCGAGCGGGAAATTACTGGATGATGGTAGCAGCACAGACGAGTTAGATTCGTCAGACTTCCGCATGGACGGCGATAGAGCGTTAAACCACACCGCAACATCAGCAGGTATCCGCCGGTGAAATGTCGCTGGCCCCTCGAGCCGTTTGATTGCTGCCACGCGTTGGTGTAAACCATAGTGTGTGTAAACGTATGCAGTGCGCTCGCTGGATTTGTGCCGACCGGTTCTGCCCCTGCGATCTCCAACGACAGCGCAGCTCTGGCCGACTGGCTTGCCCTACGCCATCTCCTGACGCCGACAAGAGCTCTCGCGGAGTGGTGCCCCGTCCTCGGACTTCTGCAACCATGTCCATCTTTCTTACCTTCTCCTTACTTTCGTATGTGGCTGTCCCTGCGCCTGTCTCTCTCTTCCTGCTCCTCTCTCTATACCTTTTAATCCTATCCTTTTAATCCCTCCTTACTTCCATCACTCATAAGCTACTCTTTAGGTGTCCTGCCCCTGAGAGGCAGTTACAGGCTCAATTTTATCTTTTTTTCGTTTAAGAATCACTCCCCTCCCCCACCCTCCTAGAGGTGACAGCTCATATCTGCAAGATGTCAACTTCGTTCAGGCCGGAGCGTTTGACGCCGGCTTCAGATAGAGTGGAGTTCCCTGCGTGAAGACTGTGTGGAGTGGACTTCAATCCACAGCTTTGGAGTACCGCGCGGCCACTTCTTCGTGTTGTGTTTCACCGCAGAACTTGTCAGAGAAATATGCGATTCCACAAAGAAGAGTGCATGGACGCATATTTTCGAAAAGCCAATGCACAGTTAGAGGAATCGAAGAATCCTGGAGAGAGGTCACCGAGGAGGAGATGCGCAAGTACGTGGGACTTCTGGTGTACACACACCCCGTACTCGTCCAAGAGCCATGTCTGCATTGCTATTGGAGTCGACAACACGTATTTTCAGGTCCTCTTTCACCGTCAGTAATGTCACGCCGGAGGTTCAAGGCGTTGAGTGCCTTTTTGAGCACCTCTGATCCGGAGAAGTCGACAATCGCATCCCGCGAGAAGCTTCACCGCGTCTCCTCCACTGTATCAGCGCTATACTTTCAATCGCACTGGAACATTCCCATGGGTAAGAAAACTGGTAAAACCTAAAGGTCACTCTGGTATTCGGCAGCACATAAAGAGAATGTGTGGTCAAATAGGAATACAAATTAAGGGTTTTAGCAGATTCGGGAACGGGGTACAGTGACCAACGTACACACAAGAAGGCACCTCAGGGTGCTCCACAGAAACAACAAAAAACTGAAAAATATCGGGACTACAGACTATGCTATCTGAACTGCAAACTAGGCTACGAAGACAGGGAAGATTTGCAGAAAAAGAAAAGAAAAATGTTTTCAGCAAAATATGTGCAGCCAACTTTTGGCTAAGAGACCTTGTCGGGAAGCTTTCTTGCATGATGGCATGATAGAAACTAGTGCTTATATTTTTAGATGTGTGTAAATAACTTTTGTACTTGCACATCTTATATTTGCAGTAGTATTCAATAAGGGCCCCTGTATTCAAAACACGTATTTCAATTTTGTTTTGCGTGTACACTGTGCAGAGTGGCATTAATGTTTTTTCAATTTCTTTTTGCTTTTTATTACACTTTTCTTTGTCTGGATGAGTTTTTTTTACCAATTTTTCCGCTATATACCAGTTGCTATAGCAGGAAAAAAATTTCTTGGACAACCCAAGAACCATTTTTTTTCGCCATCACAAAAGGGTCAAGTTTTACAAAAGCACTTATCTCTTATGCTCGCTTCACTTGCACATAAAACAATACTTTCTAGTCTAAAATGTTTGGCAATTTAGGTTGATTTAAATATGTTTTTTATATAACAGTTGCATTTTTCCTGCCAAAATCTGCCAGATAAAGACTTCTAGCCATAAAAAAACAGAAAAAAATGCCATTTTTCTACTATACCTAATAAAACATGCAAAATGCAATGTAACAATACAACAGGCATATTACAAATGTGTGCTGCATCACACATACTAACATAAAATGTAACTTCCTCTCTCTCGTGTCAAAACCTATCAGTGCAGAGAATTGCTACTGGCACCCAAAAAGACAATGTGCCATTTACTGAGATATGAACAGAGGTGCCAAATTGCAGCACAAAACCAATCGGACAGCATGTGTTCCAATTCAACAGCAATGCCACCTAAGAGATTTCAGTGTCTTGAGAGCTTGTTGTACAAGAAAGCCAACACAAATGTACCTCTCACATAGGTTTCGAGGCAGCTAAAAAAAGCAACGTTTATTATGCCAGTGTTTATTACAAGCTATACACGCTGCCGATGTATCTCAAGGAAAACTCCACAGGTGGTAGGCAAAATATTTGTACAACTGAATTATGTCGACATGCAAAAAGCGCAATAAAGTATATGTACAATAAAAGACAAATTGCTGTGCCATGTGCAGCATATCTGTTGAAACTGGCCTGAACGTGCGAAACACTGTGTCTCCGTATATAGGTAAGCGGTTTTACTACAAGACACACTTCAACGTAAGTCGCCATGCTCTTTGCAAAAAAACTTATTCCTTCATAATAGACAAGAAGGGAATCCCACGCAGTGCTCTAGTGGTTTTTAAAGCTGTGTACATTACATCTCTTTAAATAAGCTTAAATGAAATCTGCACAAACCCTTCCTCCCTACACAACAAGCTCACGTACAAAAAGAAACAACTCTGATCAACGAAGCACTTACATATTCGCATGTCATTTTTAGTGGTATTTTGAAGCATTATGCCAAAATTTTCGAGCTTGATGGCATAAGTAGAAGTGTTTCCACAAAATTTGAGTAGATACCGCACAACAAGCATTAAATAAAGACATTATCTAGGATCTAAAGTAAAAAGAAGCATTAACAGATAAAAAATAAAAACTTCACTACCTTATAGTGTATGCTAAAAACACTAAAGGAGAGATTCCCAGCTATACGTACTCCTTTTTACTACTCTGACAACAAACTTTTTAAAAACCCTGAAAAGAGTGAAAATTTCACTGCACTACATATGCATGACACACACAGTGGCCAGCAACAAGAAATGAGGTTTTTATATCAGCTCTAGAATGATAGTAATTCATGGCACCTTCATGCAAAAAGCATTCTCTCAAGCCGTGGTTGCTGTAGCTTTTGTGGCACTTCAGCCATTACGCACACTGAAGCCTGTCTGATTATAATTGTGCAGCACGCCTCCCACCGGAGGACCTCCGTTTTAGATAAGTTCAAGCGTTTATAGACATTGTGACCCTTCCATGTTGGGTAAATGCACAGTGCTCACTCACAGAGCCCTCATCTCTGTCACGAAGGTAGGTAGAAAAAAAAGGAGGGGGGGGGGGGGGGGGGGTTAGGAATGTTAGACAATGATAAATCTGTGTGGTACTTGGGCAACATTGAAAAGCCATTTATGCCCTTTCGTTTTGGCTTAAAAGCATATATTATACCTCTGCCACCTATGTAACACAGGCAAAAGGAATACTCACATAAGCCTAGTAATCCTTACACGCTGCATTCACATTAACATGGCTAGAAAGTCAAAGCAGACAAAAGCATACAAAACTGACAGACATTATTGCACAAAAGTTTGTTCTCAACCTCATCAGGAAAGAAATAAATCTGTGGCATACCACAATATGAAAACGAAGTATGGATGGCCAAGGTATTACTCCTGCAGAGAAGTGACCCCTTTTAAAATTTTAAATTATGTACATTTATTTGCTACGTTGCACACACAGTGATTATTCTCAAATTAAACTTGCTATCAGTGTGAAAAAAAAAACTGAAGTGGAGCCACCTGCTGATAACACTGAATATTTTCCACTAACACTACTGAACACAGACATGCAGGCTTTCTTTTTCAACAGTAAAAGCTCTCACAAAAAGCGCCAAAGTGGCAGCCCCACAGCTGCGTCACAAGGCACTCTTGAAACACTGTTTCGTTTAAGGCAACAACAAAAAACGGAAAGGATTGTGGATGCAGCTACAGACTAGACCGAAACGCAAATGTTCCAACCCTATTTCTATCCTTGCAAGATGGCAGAAATGAAAACATCAGTACCCTAAAATACCTTCAAATCAATTCTGTGGCAGGATAGACACAGGTGTATTTTATACATGCCACACCTTTGACAAACATTAAAACGACAGACCAAGAGGCACGAACATGTAACAGCAGGCCGTAGTATCAGCAGTAGTGAGTTATCCTTCGTTTCCTTGCAAGTGAATATAACTCTTCTTTCATTCTTTGGTTTTATGTATGTACCAATGAAGGTCTTCATTATGGCGTACAACAATGCTGGCTCAACTTATCCTGGCGGCTATGCTCTAAATGGGAGCAGCTACGACAACTACAGGAATTGTCATCATGACTTCATGCAGCACTGGGTATAGTAAAAAGATACAAAGGAAACAAATGAAAAAGAACATACATAGCTGAGAAAATGCACACAGTGAAACCTTTTCAACGTGCCACACATGGGTGTAGGCTGACCATTCGCAGCTTCTAGCCCTTCAATTTACTCTGCGTACTGAGAATGGTAGATGTACGTGCAAAAAAGCTCACCAGTTTGCAAACATGCAGCTTTAATCAGGCAACCAACAACACAGAGCAGCGACAACACCAAGTGAGATAACACAGTGCTGAAAGATCATGAAATTCTGAGATGCCGGTATGCATGGCAACAGTAGTGCTTTCTGGCCAAAAAGCGACATGGCGCTGTTCACCAGAAAAAAAATGACCTCGCATAAAAAATTTAGAAAAGGTAGTTTTGGGAAAGCAAGAGTAACGACAAATGGCGTCATGGCTGCCTACGTCATAAGAGTCAATTGAAGTGCCATGTTCAGTGAAGTCTCCGGCAAGTTCTTCCTGCGTAATCATCGCTTTTCTAGCGATACCTATAAGCACTTAACTTTAAAATGCACAACGCACTAAGTTTTAGAACAGCAGCCAAAGTAGTGCTAAACGAAAATAATATTTCAATAAGTGACCACTGTATGCACACTGGGCCCAGTTCCCACTAAGCAATAAAACAAAGTCAATGAAATCAGCATTCAGGAATATGTTGCATATTCACATAACAATAAGCTTGCTTGATGCAAAATATTTTCAGCTAGGCATCCAAAAAATTGTTCAAAATAGTTTCTCAATTATGTAGATGAAAGCTATTGTTAGGAAGACCTGCAACACCTTTCTCAGTTATGAAAAATGACTCCACAGATTTGACCAAAAAAAAACGATATTCAGCCATCTTCGACATGAAACTGCAAATAGCCTGACGCACGCAGTGCAATATTATTTGGCCCAGATGTTCCCAGGATCTTTGACTACAAGTCAGAAGTGTTGTCTTACTGATATGCTCAATAAATGTTACAAGGCCCCGCTAATATTTGTGACTACTAGCACATTCAGTTATGTTTTACTAGCTAATTTCATTGGCCTGTTCACAAGAGCAATAAGGGCCGCATTCCGCAACACTTCTTACTTCAGTAGGAGGGCTTTAGCTCCTTGAAATTGCCTTATTACGTGTTCTAGGATACTCTTCAAGGAAGTGCACTCGCAGAGGCCTTCCTTGGTGCTCTAATGAAATTGTAGGAGTTCTGTGTCCCAAAACCCCAATATGATTATGAGAGAGCCCCATAATGAAGGGCTCTGGAAGTTTTAACCAACTGGGGTTCTCTGACATGTGTCTAAATACAGGCACATGGGCCTCTAGCATTTTTTTCCTCCACAGAAAATGCGGCTGCCACCGTTGGGACTCGAACCCATGACCTTACAGTTCCTTGGTGCTCTCCCGAGTTAAGGTAGTACTAGGGCAACCTACACGTCTCCTTACCTCACTCCTTACACTGAAAGTATGCCTCTGTGCAGTAGTTGATAAATTCTTTGGCCTGCCAACTGAATGAAGACGCGGCAGCACACTGTTGTTGCCAGATGAATAAAGGCAGCCTATGCTTTGTTGGTACATGTTGTTCTAAATTAATAAGCAATGACACACACATAGCAGCCTTCATTCACGACAGGTTGAGTACCATCTTTTGCCTGGCATTCACTTGCAGTTATTTTCTCTTTTCAGTCTGATTCTTTTCAAGCTGCTGCACCATCATATCGTTAGGTGCCCGTTCTATACCTTACAACTACATTACAGTTACTCAAGCTCATGTATTACTTACAAAAGACAGTGGATAAAATGGTCCTGCACCCCTTTTTCAAATAATCATTTAATGGGCTCAGCATTGGGAGTTTATTGCTTTATGAATCGAGTGCTGAAAATTGTTTTCAATTCATTAAGAACAAGCAGAGTTACAGGACAGAGATTTGTCACATGCTTTGAAGGGATACAGAACAAAAATTTTGCTGCCAATATTTTCAGCCAAATCAATAGATTGGATCCTGAAATTGATAGAGACAACCTTCATTCGAAGCAGAAACTACAGGAAAATAATGAATTTAATGCGATTTTCACAAACTGTCGCGTCGAGCGGCAGCGCCATGAACTAGAGCATGCGACGTTGGGTGACGTCGAATTCACGGGAAATTGGGAAGCCAACAATGCCAGCCATTGCCCACGTCTCTCGACGCACTCATCCTTCCCTATAACTGGTATAAACAGCAACAGCAGCGAACAATGTTTCCGACTGGGGCAAAGTGACAGCGCTATTGTGGAAGGAAAAGAGTAGAGTGAAAAGACAGCTGGAGAAAAGGAAGAGAAGAACAAGAACACGTGCATCCCGCATGCGCCTCGGTGAGTTTGACGTTACTGCTCGCGCACGCGAGCAGCCGCCGCGGGCTCACAATTCATCAAAAATACAATTAACTGTTCAAAAATACGGGAAATAAACTCAGTTTATCGGAACAGTGACATCTTCCAAGCAGAATTTCGAAGTTTTGTCAGTTTTTTAAATATTTATTCAGTATTTCTTTAAGCACTTTCCCTCTTCTTTCGTTCCAATGAGCACACTGGAAGATACACAAGGAGGGGAGGGAATGAAAAATGGGCCAGAATCTACTCAACATATGCCATAACCTCCAGTGCATGCCATGGAATGCGACTTGACCTCCCTCGGTGTCATTCTGGTATGCGCTAGTGCTGCTATTGTGTAATTTTTACAGACTGTAGAGTATGGGACTGGCACATAGTGGCACCCAGTACCAAGACGTGAATCTCATCTGTACGCCATATATTATTTAAGTCAGCTTTCGGTTAATAGCAACAATGCACTGTATGACACCATACGGCAGCTGCACGCAGCTACGATGAGAGTGAGCATGGGCCTCTGCCAAAAAGAGGATGATTTAGAAAGTGGCAACTTTGAGCCCCTCTTGCAAACTCTCCTTACCAAGCATGACTGCAACATTTGGCTGAGCTATTCACAGGAGCGTCGGCGTCCCACAGAATTTTTTTTTTTTTCATGTAGTACAATTGGTGGTTTAGGACCTGTTTGAGGAAAATGCCGAAGGCTCGAATGCTTATGTAACAGCATGATATTTTGTTTTTGGCAAATATCGTTTATTCTAAGTCTTCTGCACCTTTATGTAACCTAAATACCATTCAACCATGCAACTTTTTAAATGTTATACAAGAATCATTTGAAATTATTGTACATGAGTCAATGTTTGCAGCTCATTCTCTAGCTGATAGTTACTGTTCATGGTAAACATATATGCATATTATGTAATCACTCAGCATAATTAAAGAACCTCTTTATAAATTTTCGTAGAATTCATTAAGCAATTATAAAACAAATCTGTTAAATTTGGTAAAAAAAGAAGTTCACAACACATTAAAAAGCAGAACAAACACAACTGCTCTTATAGATGGACAGGCTCAAGGAATGAGCTATAAATTAAATGAACATTTAATCACAAGTCTACACACACACAAGTGTGAATGTCAGTGATAAAGCAAAGATAATTTTGCATGTCCCCACAATTGCAAAAAAACACACCATTTGGTTTGGTCATAATGCTAGCAGTGCGCAACCTGCAAGACAAGTTAACGAAAATTCAAGGGTGAATTGGGCTTCTAAATAAACACATGCGTGGGCCAGAAAGCTGAAGTTATTGCGGGATGAACATAATCTAAAATTGGTGAAAACAAACTGAAAAGAGAGAGGGAGGGGGAGGGGTGGCAGAGACAGGGTTAAGGAGGTTTATCACAGAGCCTAGAGTCTGAGCACCCACACCCCATGGAGGGTGTTTTTGTAGTGGGGTGAGGGAGCACTTCAGTTGACTGGCAGGGCCCAAAGGACGGCCGTCTTGTCAGCGCTGGTGCTGACAAAGGAGAAGTCACTCGGGTGCCAACGAGCCTGAATGACCTTGTCAGCATGCTCTGCAACTACGACGCTAGGCAAGGGGAGCGTCAGGTCACCTATGGCAGGAGAAGCAGTAAAATTACTGTCTTCAAGGCTTACAGAAATAGCGGTAAATATTAGGATACTTTAACCATAGTGCTATATTGACAGAATCGATCAAGACATTGATCGTTAAACAAAAACTTAAAGAGAATTAAAAAATGTTAAGTTTAATGCCCACAAGGCTAAAACAGTGATAGCAATAGCAATGCATGAGACAATGACACAAGGTGAGACCACAAGGTAAGGCTTGTGGTCTCATCAGCCTCAATACATCGTAGTGAACATTTCTTTTTTAATCAATTTAATGGGCATGTTGCCACACATGCACTGACAAACACAAAAATATCTCACTAAATGAACATGACCACTGGCTTGGATGAGGCGCACTGCTGTTACTGTTAGATAACGCAAGCTGCCGCATTAGGTGCATGAAGACCATACACACAAAGTGACCAGCCACATAAGCCAGCCCAGTCTTTGCAGCCGTCGCAGATTATTAACAACAGAGGGTGCGTGGGCCACCTTTTATGGCTCACGAACCCTGTGTTGGAATAACTGCACCTGCCCTGCTACTTCTACATGGAATAACTGCAGCTGCTCTGCTGCTCCTTACTAGGCTGACTACAGAAGAAAATGATTGCTTTAGTTTACTTGCCCAATGACTTGCCAATAAGGTGCACCAATTTGAATAAGTGCGCTTAGTAAAATGCACCTTGAATAAATGTCAAGAAAATTCCAACAGCACCGAAAAAGACGAATAGATGAAAAAGGACCTGACATGAAAAGGGGGTCAGCTCCCCTTTCACCCATTTCACATTTTTTCAAGCTGTTGAAACTTTCTTGACCATCGGTCACCAACTTGCCCAAATGCTCATGTTAATTGAATAAATGCACTGCCGATAGAATGGGAATATCTATGCCGAATAAATGTATATAAAATTAAAAAATGTGTACAAAATGCCAGAAATTATTCTTAATAGGTCTTTAGCCATACAAGAGTTGGGCAGCATTCAGCAAGATTACCAGAATCTAACGAAGAAAGAGGAAGCGGAAATGAAGAGTGTGGTTTAGACACCATATGCCACAGTAGCATATGTCACAACAGCAGGTTCTACACCTTTGAGTAGCCGGCATCATTCAGTAAGACTTACAATAACTATAAAAACATTTCATTTAGGCAAACTAAGAAGCACTACATTCACTGCTGCTGAGATGTGCACAAAGGGAAAGGTTGAACATGGTACAAAAATCAATAGGCAGCAGCAGTGCTTGTAGATGCTCTCTTTAATTGTGACCTGCATGCTGTTTTAATATGGCCATGTAGCATGTTCTTTCTTATCAATTGGCCAGCTGAAACTAGATAGCATTTCCATGTCTTCCCAGCTCAATGTACAGTACGGTCCACTGTTAAAGGGAACACTCGAATGCACACAATCAATATTCCTGGCGCTCTAAGAGCAAGTGGATAAGGAAACAATCTTCAAGCACGTCAGTAGTCTGTCAAGAGGAGTCAGAACTATCAACCACCCGTAGTGTTATGCATATCTTAGCCACTATGCCTCCATAAGATAGCGAAATCTAAACACGCTGCTCACGCGGGTGTTCCCTCAAACAGTGGACTCGTCCGTACATGATTATGCATTCAATATCTAAGCAGCATTAGCAGTAAATTACTTTCACGTCTTGTTAATAGTGAAAGAGATTATTGAAAATAATGAAACCCATTTTTTATGTGAACGCACTGCTGGAGAAAGGTAATAACTCTCACAAGACAGGAAGGGCGAGTATAATGAGTACAGTGGAGTATACAATAATCAAAACCGTTTATTACAATATAGCGGATATAATGACAAATAATGATGGCATCATCCACTTTTGTGCGTTCTCTTTGGTACAATAAACCGTTTATTACAGTGCTTCAGTGTAGTGATATCCGATGCTGTAGACTCGCAATAATTTGAACACTTTTATTTCATACTTTCGGTTGATGCAAACAAAATTCAATTTCTTGGTTGGCTATCTATTTTTTCAATGTATTTAAAAGCCTCTTAATTCAAACTCCATCATTTAGTTAATTCATACTTTTTGTGGTTCCATACCAGAAAATATCTGCTGCTTTCCCATTACAATTTAAAAATTTGGGTGCTTATATCACCCTACCAGTCTCAAAATAAAAAATAAGTGTCTCAGGCCTTCAAAAAAAAAAAAAAAAAAGAGGATTTGCTACTAAACAAAAGTTTCTAACGAAGCACATGCATAGTAAACCGTGATGCTTCTCAACAGCTACAGAGAGCTTTGTACTAAAGACAGATAAAGACAGCAAAGAAGAAGTTGGCAATTGGCGATTCCTTTAAAAGGTCTGATCAGGAGTAAATGGCTAATAAAGTTGTGAACTTTACACCTTTGCTTTCTTTTCATTGCGTTGAGTTAGGATTTGAAAACGCTTAAAAAAATTTTAAATGTGATAAAATTAATGCCTAATCGTAATTTGTGGTGTCACCTCACCCCCAGTAATATATCTGAGAACTTCTGATAATTCAAACTTCTTGATACTTCAAACAAAATTCAGAGGTCCCTTCAAGTTTGAATTAACGAGAGTTGACAGTATAGCGATTGAATCTGGCTACAGCGTGTGCCCAAATGAGTCTGCACACAAACCACGCCGTGCTGTGGATAGTGATGGGAACAATGAATCCAAAAACGCAGTTAAGCAGCCTACGCACGTACTGTCATCGCAGGAGGATCTGCGAATAATACAGTCCCCCCCCCCCCCCCCCCCCCTGAGACCTTGTTTTCCCAAGTGACCTCCCACACACCTACGTAGATCAGCTAGATGCTCTTGAGAAAGATGTGCTCCAGCCACGCATGCAGCAATAAAAGCTGCACACGTAGCTATTATGCACGTGCATACTATGCATTTTCAGCAAACATGTAGTTCATAGTTGCACTACCTTGCTAGAATGCAAATTTAGTGTTTTCCTCTCTGTTTTGTCTTTTTTTTTGTCAAACCGCTTATAACAATTATCCCATTTAAGCTGCTTTGCCATTTCTGTTTTTCTCGTCATCAGCTATGAAGAAACAACAGCTAGCCTCTCAGAGCTTTGTCTGATGTGCATTTTTTCTTTTTACAAAGCCTGGAAGCACATAACCATTTAACCCACTCAGAAGACACTAGTGAACCAAAATACACAACCTTAAACTTATTGAAAATCATGTTTATATTAACTGTTGATATTAAAGAGACCCTGAAACACTTTTTCAAGTAACAATGGAATGAAATCACTGGAAGAGTTTATTGCCTCACGAATTCAACGCCGTAAAAATTTTAAGAATTCGTCTTCTACGAGTGGAGTTACCAAAGCTTGTCACACGCTTTCAACACATTCTCTCTTCTCTCGTCCAGAAGAAAGCGCTGGAAGCTAAGCAGGGAGAGATGGCAGGGCCACAGAAAAACGTCACGCAGGCCTTGTGACCTTGAGCTATTTTTTTTTTAATGCGCGTCTTTCTCAGTGTGATCGCGCGCACACACGTGGACAAGTAGTGGCCTCCTGCGGTGATCTCTGTAACGAGCGAGCACGCCATGTGCAAATCAGTCAATGGCTGATGGGTTTGCTACGTGTGATTTTTTCGGGCATATTTCACGATTTGTCGAGAGAAGAGAAAACAATTTTTAGCTGACTTTGATAATTTATTGTGATTTCCAGGCCGCATGCTGTGCTACAATATTTGGCTCGCGTGTTGTCGGGAGCCTCTACTACTGACCGACAGCGTTTTCTGACCATGCTCAAAAAATGTCGCAGGGCGCCTTTAACTGAAATTTCCATTTGATTAAATACAAAACGAAAGATCATTTAAAGGAAACAACTGAAAAAAAAAAAGCACGAGTGAACCATGAAAAGCAGACACATGATATTTATTGCTCTGAAAGATAACGTATTATGATTATAAAGCATTTTATTCTAGAAGAGTTCTTTTATACTTTGACTGGAAAAGCAATAAGCAGGTCGCTATCACCTGTTCCCATTTAAGATTTATTATAGAAGTCTCACTGCATCTACATTATGAGAATCAAGCAAGAAAAGAATATGTCCAACGCATCAGTTGTATCTTATAGTTATGACAAGAGTCTTGGCAATGAAAATTTTAGTCAAATGATTCCTGAAGCTCTTGTAGTATTTTCATGCCTAGTTGCTGTGCCATTATAATTTCTTCTACTCCCTGCAAATAAGCCGACATGAGAAGAAGTATGTACAATGACGCTTCAAACAACACTTATTTCAACCTCTACCATGGTCTCAATCATAACCACCCTGCCATTAAAGTCAGTTGGTGGTTCAAAAGAACAGAAGATAAAAAAAAAAAAAAAAAACTTGGGTCAAAAGGTTCACTGCATCATAGTAGAGTAACAGAACAGGTTCCAGAGCAGATGCACATCTAGAGCCAAGGTGCAGCCACTCACCCTGCAGATCAGTAAGGACGCATTTACGGTCGTATGATGCTGTCAGTAAGTAGTAAGCTCGTGGTGAAAAGCGCACGGATCGCAGATCTGACGAATGGGGCCGGAACGTCTGAATGGTCCGGCCACCTCGTATGTCGTACAGCATGCAAGTGGCATCCTCATGGCCAGAGACCAGCATGCGTCCAGTTGGGTCCACAGCCACGGCAGCAACTGGGCTCCCTGTGAAATTAACAGTGTTAGTGAGTCTCAATTCATGCACCTAAGTTAGAATAGCTTAACATCAAAAAAGTTAAACATATGGCAAATTGAAAAAACTTGTAGGATTTTTGAGCTTCGCTTTTAAAAAGTGAACATGATAGCGTAATCGGGCCTTGTGCTCACCAATTTCTCAATTGCTAGCCTGGCTTCAGTTTTCGGCGCATAGTTTAACAGTGTTGTGAGGGAACGAATGACTGTGCGCGTAACATTGGCCATTTCAAAGTCTCTAAGAATGCCCACAGCAAGTTCAGTTGTGCAGTGCCCACTACGGCATAATTATTCCTTTTGCGAATCAGCGAATGACTTACTACGCATTTGTAAGGCAACACGTGAGCCTACACAGCTGTTCACTTTGTTAGTGAAAAATTTTGCAGCTGATGTCAATTAAAAATGTCTGGGATACTTTGTAATAGGTGGGCATTTTTTAACACCACTCATTGCGAAGTCCGCATGTTTTAACACCTGGTGCGATTCTATGGTTTGATCTGCACACGCACACAATATTACATGCATTAAGTCAGCACCTAATCAATTTTTTTTTTCTGTGCCTGGGTGAACGCTCCCTTCATGCTGTCGAAAGCAAGTTCCACCTCCGCTTGCCGCTGCCGCATGGCGGCGCGGCACGAGTAGACTATGGCAAGCTGGCAACGACTGCGCGCATTAGGAAGCTTACGAATTCATGTTTTCATGCGACATAATGTGCATTTGCGCTTCTCGCCGACTTTCACAGACACAGGGGGAATTGTCAACGGGCTCTGTCAGGCCATACTAATGGTTTGATATATGCGTTCAAGTTTTGCAGCATTCGCATTTTATTTTCTCTTTCAAGCTATTGCCACCTCATCATATGAATGCCTCAGTATATAATATTGCTTGTGTACTACTCTGCATATCTGATGAAGAGAAATCAGATTGTTCTTTTCGTTTCTCAATAGTGACAAAGAAAGAAACAAACTCAGATTGCCTTATGGATTGACCTGAGACGATTAAAAAGCAAAAACTATCTTCTTCATTTTCTTCCCATTCAATGCATTGAATGTTTCGTGCTTCCCGTCAGGATATTTATGCACCCAACCTGGTTTGCTTACTGCCTCAAGGGTTGGAGACAAAGCTAGCTCTCTGCCCCTCAGCTGGTTATGCACTGCCTTGGTGATCGTTCCATTTCAACCATGCAAAGATGTAATATCATGCCATCAAGTTATGTGACCTTCCGATACGTCACAAAATTTTATGCTCTGTGACGTCATATAAAGATTTCTTGCATCACTCATGTTGACATCGCTGAGGCAAGAATACGCTGGACGCGGCCGGCGATCAATTTTCGCTTTTGATGAGGCATTTAAGGCCATTGCCTTAATGCACTGTACAGCTGTAGTTCCGGGAAATTGCAGCTAACACTGATGTTCGGGGGAGGGTGCTCGCAATAATGAAGCAGAACAATTGGTCTCCTAATAAAGCTTCGTACTACGCTCGAATATAGAGGAGTCAATTACAACCTGAATATTTTTTAGATTATAAGAAGTGGTGGTTAAAGACTACCCCTCAGGTTTGGAAACATTGGTATCACTAAACGGGAGTGCGCTGCATCCAAACAGTCAACAAATGAGTCTATCAGTAACGCTGCCTCGCGATCACTGCCATGTGCAACGCTAACATTACCCCCTGAAGCTGAATGGGAGCCCATGGGAACCCATGAGTTATTGCCGAAACAAGTGAAAATTGTCATGCACTGTGTCGTACTGAATGTGTGCTTTCAAGGCTGAACAGCTGGGGTGCCCCATGCGATAAAAGCATCCGGGTCAACAGCCATTTGGCTTCTACTCTGCTCTCTATCAAATTAAGAGGCCAGAGGAAAGAAGAAAGAAACAGAGCCGAGCAGCTGAATTTCAATGTTATAACTATCTGTCCACTACACAGACAAGCTCAAGCAACTGACCACAGGCCGCATTTTTCAAGCTTGTCACTTTGGCTCAAATTGAAAGTCGGCATTAGACTTTAGACTTTAACAGCACCTGTTCAAAACATAGGCCATGATAGCAGAAATCGCGCCACATACGAAGCTGTTCTCGTTTGTTTCACGATGATGCCTTGTTTAAGCTCTCAAATAGTTAAATCACCTGGCGTAGTTCCTCATTTTCTGACACTTGCTTTTTCTCAGTGGAAGCACATGTAATGTTCTGTGAAGGAAACGGATGATCAACTATTTCCCTAGAAGCAGTCTAGTGGCATTTTGTGCTATTTAGAGCATGAACTCCAGGCTTGCGCATATAGTGCTATGCCACTTGACAGTAGCAAGCATCAGGGAACATTAGTCACCCAAGCTTCTAATATTAGCTCCTCGCAAAGGCTTCTCTCAAAAATCGACTTTCAAGAGAGCAACTCTCAGTCAATCGAACACCACAGTGATAAAACGCTCCTCTGCGGACTACTGGCATGAGCTGTCTAATATCGACCTAGCAGACGAAGCGCGAGCGCCTCAATCGAGTAGTCGCGAACAACACATGCCTTTGAAATGAGCTGGGTCACCACAACAAGTGCTTCATGATTCATGTTTACAAGTTTCGATTATACCTTAAACAATGCAAATACAGCTGAAAATCAAATCATACAGCGGCTCTCAATGCAGCTGTGACATTCGTTTGCGCGATAGACAACGCAACAGCATGTCTACTGCAGTTGCGGTGCCTACCAGCGAACCACTGCACTAACACCCGCGGCCGCTTCCCATTCAAGTCCGCTCCTTCACCCGGGCACTGAAAAAGTGAAGGAGGCACTGGTCAAGTAGACTCCTTACACATTCATATAGTGTTTTTTTCTGAAGAAGTTTAGCCATAGCATCGCTCTGTGGTGAACACCTGCTTGCCATGCAGACAGCCTCAATTCGATTCTCACTCGAACCTAAGTTTTTTTATTATTTATTTCATTTGCCTCTTTCTCGATTTTTTTACACTGACAAGACGATTTTTCACTCACAACCAACGACACTGATGCCAGCACCAGAATTTATGCGAAATGGGCTCCTTAATGCTATCATGTTAGAATTATCACTCTGCACCAGCTTGGGACGGACTGAAACAGCAGTATACAGATTTCAGTTACGTTTGATAAAAACAATTTTGCAATTACATGTTATTAGCCTTAGATGTGATGTCTACGATTTCGCATGCAAATGTGACCATGTGACAGCCAAGATAACTTATGTTACGTTGTAGGTAACCACGCATATATCATATTATGTGGATTATAAGAACACAGTTACGCAGCCATACGTGGTTTGCTCCCTCACTCTGTTTTGCATCTTGCCCTCAGCCTGACATCACAGAACTTATGTCCTTCACATTTGAAGCACCTTTGTTTCGTGAGGTATGTCAGTAAATAAAAAAAAAAAAGCTACATCGAAGTCCCATGCACTGTCTTCAAACAAATGAGCAACTAAAATACCTCGACAATTTCGGAGATAACCTAAACACTCAGTGGTGCTCCACCACTTAAGCTCGAGATTTGGAGCATTTAGTCTGGCTAAATTCTTAGGTACCATATGTTTGTCCTGTAAAAGCCATGCTGCTCATATCCATGCACAAATGTTGCTGGTCGCAGTAAAGGTAGTGAACCAGAATAGAGCCTAAAACAACAATGAAAAAAAAAGTATTATTTTTGTTCAAACTATGAACAAGAAGCTCAGTATTTTGTATTGCTTTTCAGAACAACACTATAAAGAAAGACAAAAGACTTTTTTAACACAGGTTGGCTACCATCCCTAGAGTTATTTTTTTAGTTTTCAGCCATGCATCACCTGCCTGCACTTGACATGGGTATGGTTGAAGTTGATGCAATGGTGTATGAAACTTCAATACAGTCGAGCCCGACTATATCGAACCCGTCTATATCAAATTATTCCGTACATCTAACAATTCCTAAACACGGTAAGTTTACATTGAGAATATATAGCAAAAATTACCGTTTTATCGAACGAAAATAGCAACGACAACTGATATATCAAACTCCATGTGCCTCAAAAGTGCCCCAGCAAGTCGGCTTTCCCTCGCGGTGGCGGGGAAAACTGCCGGGGCCACTCGGAAAAAGTTGGTTAGAACCGGTTATGCGCGGGCGAACACCACCCCCCAAGAAATAATCCTGGCCCGCTCACAGCGCTTACAGCCAATCAGAGGCCGTCGTACTTTCTCTGAGGCGCGGAGACGGTAGAAGTGTGCGCCATTTTTTCTTTCTTTATGCTTGTGTGCCTGCTTCTGCCGATTCAGCGTGGTCTGTGGTGTTGCCTGTTGGTGCTCTGTGAACTGTGTTGGCACGCTGTCATCATGGCTTGCACAAAGAGGCAAAATTTGCTATTCACCGCGAAACTCTAAATCATCAATGGGGTTGAGTATGGTGAAAAGAAGTCCGACGTCGCCGCCGCGTACAAAATTCCAAGGAACACCTTGAGTACTATCCTGAAGAACAAGGCAGACATCAGGGACAAGTCGGACAAAAGGTCAGGTGCCCGTGGCGCCCGACGTGTGCGCGCTGCTGTGTACAAAGATGTTGAAGCGGCCGTTCACAAATGGTTTGTGGGCGTTCGGTCGCGAAACATCCCGGTGTCCGGCCCTATGATCGAGCAGAAAGCCAAGGACCTTGCTTTTCTGCTTGGCAGGAATGATTTCCAAGGCGCTTCAGTGGTTCAAAGAACGGCACGACATCGTTGGCAAAGCTGTTACAGGTGAAAGTAGAGCAGCGGACCTGGACGGCGTAGAAAAATGGCTCGAGGAAAACTGGCGAGATATCGCAGCAAGATATAGAGCCCAAGATATCTTCAATGCGGATGAAACCGCTCTATTTTGGCAAATGTCGTGGCGACAAAACAAGCGGCGGCAAGGCAAACAAAGCTCGTGCGTCCGTGCTGTTGGCAGCTAATTTAGACGGATCGAAAAAGCTTCGACCTCTGGTTATCGGGAAAAGCACGGCAC